AAAAATTGGTCCTTGTAGCATGTTAACATTGCCGATATGGTACCTATGGCAAAAAAAAAAGAAAAAAAACTTGACAAAATGGATCCTGTGCACAAAAACATTGAAAATTTTGTCCATGTTTAAGAAAAAACATTACACATATGGTCCTTGTTTCTAGAAAAACATTACATATATAGTCCCTGTTTCAGGAAAAACATTACAAATATAGTCCCTATTTCAGAAACTCATTATAGAATCGGTCTATATGGCAAAAAAATATTACAAAATTCATCCATATGCAGAAATTGATTACAGAAATGGTCCCCCATGGGAGAAATACATTACATAAACAGCCCCTGTGACATAATATCATTACAAAATGGTCCCTACGACAGAAATAGATGACAAATGCAGTCCCTATAGCAGAAAATGTTTATATAAATGGTCCTTATTGGAGAAAAATACATTACAAAAACAATCCATGTGGAATAAATTCATTAAAAACATGCTCCAAAATAAAATAAAAAAATCCATGCAGAAAGCATTAAAGTACTAAAGTGTAATGAACATCATAACAAAAACTCATGATATTTTCTGTTCTTTCCTCTTGCTAGAGGATGCTTCATAAAAACCTTGAGACGCGGGATTTTTGCAAGTCCTTTGATGGTGTCCATACATACCACAACGCGAACATCTGTGTCTTTTCTTGTGCTCATCGTGTGGTATAATTCTATTCTTTTTAGGTCGTCCAGGCGGTCGTTTTATAATAGGAGGGTATATTTTTTCGACTGTTTCTATATTCACCCATTGATCTTTTCCAGGCATCGGACTGATTTCTAAAGCATATGCTTCTTTAAACTTGTCGACTGTGAAATATGTATCAACATATTTGTCCCAATTAGGCTCCCTTGTGAAAGCAATAAAAGCAGCTGCATGCACACACGGAAGGCCTGTAACTTGCCATTTTCGACAACTACACTTTTTCTCATCCAATACAACATCCCAACATATCCTTTGTACTTCACTTCTGCTTTATTATCACTGCTTCTACAAACTTGATATTCACCCAAGTTCTACATGAGAAAATAAAAAAAGAACAAACTAATATCAGGAAAAATATATATGTTTAATGCATAAACAATTATGTATATATAGTTCCTTAACTTGCCTTAGTGATTGATTTGAGATACTTATTTGCTTTTGGAAGTAGTGGTCCTTTCCATTTTTGCACCTTACTCCTTTTCTTGTCAAATCGTTCCATAAGCTTTTCTCTAATTGCATCAAGGAGATCAAGCACCGGTTTATAACGTATGTCACCTACCCAAGAGTTAAAAGTTTCTGAAATATTGTTGGTAATGTAATCACACTTGACAAGTGTGCCAAACTTACTTCTACTCCATATCTTTTTATGGTTCTCATTCAAATATGAAATTGCATCGTCACATTTAGTAGCAATTTCATTTAATAATCTATCATGCTTATTAACAGAGTAGGTATTTGCAGCCTCCCATAGTTTGCTCATGAAAAAGTCACCTCGAAAATGTTTCTTGAAGTTGCTACATAAATGTCTTATGCATTCTCGATGCTCAATATTAGGATAAACCTGTGTAATAGCTAATTCCAAGCCTTTTTGCATGTCAGAAGAGATAACAAGACCATTTGGTGTACCAATCGCTTTTTTTAGTGACGTGAGAAACCAAGTCCATGATTTTGTATTCTCTGCCTCAAGCACACCATAGGCTACTGGAAACATACCATTGTTACCGTCGATACTTGTGGCAGCGGCTAACACACCATTAAATTTCCCTTTCAAATGACAAGCATCAAGCCCAATGTAAGGACGACAACCAGTAAGAAACCCCTTAGAGCATGTTGTTAATGATACAAAAAAGCGTAGGAAATGTTTCTTTTCACCAACTATATGTAAATCAATCTCCACCACACTTCCTGGGTTTCTTTTTTCAAGTTCTTGTTTGAAATCATATATATTAGCATAAGAGTCATCCCACTTGCCATACATATCGGTATAAGCTTGCTCTCTTCCTCTAAAGACTCTCATATATGGTACTTCAACATTGTAAGTATGCATAAGCCACTTTTTTAGGTCGGCAGGAGAGACATCGCCTTCAGATTTCAACTTGTCGGTAACAACATCAGCAATCCATCCTTGAGTCGCATGTTTATTACCACTCTTGTTGCTTCGAGTACAAGAATGAGTTTCTATAAATTTCTTTACCTACAAAATTGAAAAAAAAAACATATAATTATGTTACCATAATAACAATGTCGACGAATGTAGTATTTCTCAAATTTTATACTTACTTCAAAAGTAACCCCATCTTGTGTAAGAGAAGCATGAATTCTCCACTTGCACTTTTTATCTCCACAACATGCTGTAAGTCTTGTCAAATCACTTTTCTCAATGACATACTCAAATTCATTTGTTAGTGGATAATGGTTTAATGCTCTTCTAAAAGCAATTACACTTGGGAATTTAGAATTCACTTTTATAAATGGATTTATCTTACTATATGCATAAGTTTCCCCATAATTTAGAAGCTCATATTCGTTATCGGAACTATGAAGACTATGATAGCTTTCTTGACTTGGATAAACCGAGTCTGTCTCACTTTCATCATCATATTCATCGATAATTTTATCTTGACAACTTAAGAGTTTAGGGTTATACCTTAATTTTTTGGTTGTCGCATAAATTGTTACTTCTTTCTCCTTATCATACATGTTTAGCATCACCATGAAGCTCTTGTCATTATCAAGTTCAATAAAAGATTGCTCTTTTGCATATTTGTCAACAAATACTATTGACAAAACAATATCGTTTTGTGATGGATAGTGTTTTTTCACCTCTTCAACTAGATGATTTAAATCGTATGAAAATGTGTCTATATAGAGACATTTTGTAGATCCAAAGCAATACACTTGCCTACATGAGTTCCTAGCTAATCGAAAGAAGCCTCCATATTTCAATTTAAACTTGAATTCCGATATTACTTGTCTGATGACCACAATAAAAAAAACAGTTAATATAATTGAAGGGAAACATAAAGTATCATTCATTGTTGATAAAAACTTACTCAATTATGGGCGAGTGAGCACTTATGTCCCATCTCGGTGCATCAACCTCATTATCCATCAAAGAGGAGAATAATAAACTACCTATTGCAAACCAAACATAATTAAATGCAGAGCCAACAATTAATCAAATTAATCGAATACAAAAAGTTAATCAAAAACCAAAATTAATCGACTGAAGAACAAGATTAACCTGTTGTGATGAATAACGTGATTTGTTACTATGTAGCAATGATATTCGAATAAAGGAAGGCAAAAGTTCACACGACTTGAAGAAGAAAACAACGTAATGAAAGCCTTGAAGATTTCACGTTTTTGAGGTTTAGTTTTGACGTGTTTGAGGTTTTGACATATTTAATTAGGTTTAATGCTAATTAAGCCTGGAAGATTTCACGTTTTGAGGTTTAGTTTTGACGTGTTTGGGTTTTGACATATTTAATTAGGTTTAATGCTAATTAAGTCTATTTAGTTCTATTTATTAATAATATTGAAAGGGTAATTTAGTACAATCACCTTTTATTTTGATTTTTAAATATATTTTTTGGTATTAAATTGATTAATACCTCATTAAATTATAAGATTGGATATAAATGTGATTTTAATAGGTTACGAAGGATATATACGTAATTATGAATTTTGAAAGGATATAAACGTAATTCTTAATGTTTACAAGGATATATGTGAAATTTTCCCTTTATCTAAACTATTTCTGTAAGGTTGCTTTTAAGTTATAGTAGTAGTTTTTTGAAAATATGTTTCTATTCCCAATGACCAAAAGTGAAGGGTGTTTCATACATATTTATTATTTATAAAAAAAATTTCAATCTTCTAAATATCTTTTAAAGTCATTTTACAAATTTCAACTAACATATTAACTAGTTTGTCAAAAATCATTTTATTTCTGTAAGGTTGCTTTTAAGTTATAGTAGTAGTTTTTTGAAAAAATATGTTTCTATTCCCAATGACCAAAAGTGAAGGGTGTTTCATACATATTTATTATTTATAAAAAAAAAATCAATCTTCTAAATATCTTTTAAAGTCATTTTACGTATTTCAACTAACATATTAACTAGTTTGTCAAAAATCATTTTTTATTATTTAAAATCTAGTTTTTCATCTAAGAACTAAGTTTTAAAAATTAAATTGTTCTCTCAAACATAGTCGTGTTCGAGAAAGAATCATCACCTACCAATCATATATATTATTCATACAACATTTAACAAAAAGCAACCTCTTTAATAAATATTAGTCATTATAATTTATTTTATTAGAAATCTTAAATAAATTAAATTAAAATAACCTAACAAATCTATTAAAAAGTATAAATATAATCTATAAATATATTACTTAAATATATATCTATATAATATAAAAAATACAATGAGGACTTTCCCTATTTAAATATTTTTAATAAGATAAATTAATGGAGAATTGTCAGAAACATCCAAATATTTTCGGAAAAGTTACATTTTGATACCAATTTTTTTTTTTAACATAAAATTCATTTTAGCTCAAATTAACAAGAATATATTTTTTTTTCTTTCTAACAGGATATGAAATATTATCGTATTTTTATAAATAATCGGTATTTTTTATGTTTTAAAAAAAATAGGACTAAAGTGTAACTTTTCAAAAATATTTGGATTTTTCTTACAATTTCCCTGCATTAAATGCATAAATATCATATTCTCAATATATTACGAATCATATTATGAAAAACAACGTTTAAATTAGGGTGGCAAAAAAATCCCAACGGTGCTAACCCGAACTGCTACCGTATAACTATATGTTGGTCGGTACTCGATTCTCAATTCCACTAAATCAAGCATTTTGGTTCCCGAGACTAGCAATACTTGGTGCTTCGGGTTTGGGTAAGTACTGAAACTGAATTGAATTTAAAGGAACACCCTTGAAACCAAAGTTAGATCATGTATAATATTCCTACCCTCAAAACTCTTTCGTACATGCTGGTAGGTACTTGATTCCATTAAATCAAGCATTTCGGTTCTTAGGAGTAGTGATACTCGGTGTTTCGGGTTCCGGTAAGTACCAAAACCAAATCGAATTAAGGGACGCCCTTGAGCCCAACTTAGATCACGTATCATATTCCGACCCTCAAAACTCCTTTGTACGACCTGAATTTTTCTTGTATCTTTTTTATTGTCTTGGCTACATGTTAGGCTTAAGAATCAACTGATTTGGATGAACATAGCCTCCATTACATATTCCCAAACATAGGTATTTGAAAACATAAATTTTTCGAACTTAGTTTGTTATTTTTATTGGAGAGCAGGCCGACCCTGACGGTGGGCAACCCGTATGGTCGCTCAGTGCTCATGTCTCTAAGGGGCCCAAAATTCCTAAAGTATACAGTATAAAATATAAATTATATATAGAAAAAACTAACTTATCTAAAAATTTTAGGAAATTTATTTTTCTTTAAATTAGTTGTTTTTGTAAAATTTTGACCATATTTTTGTTTTTGAATATTAGTAGTGAATTATATAACGGTGTGTCTATTTTCGATTTAATTTTTATCAGTGTTCTAAAAGGCGCGTCAATGCGTGAGGTGCGTCAATGCGTGAAGTTGCACATAGAAAATTGGTACTAAAATACAATTGGTACTAAAATGCCGATGTTGTCCCGGAACCGAACCAATACCATATAGTACCTATCCCCCCGATACCCAAAAATCATATTTTTAGTTAGTTATATTTGCATTAGAAAGCAACTTCTTTAGTCAAACTTGTTTCATGTTTTTTTTAACATTCATGTTTTTGTAATTTTAAATTGTTTTATACATATACATATTTTTGTTAAATATTATCGTAAGAAATGTATTTTAAAATCAAAAGTTAAAAGCACATATTATTATTTTTTGTACTCTTATCAAAAGCATTTTAAATACAAATTGATTAAAAATATATTTTCTTTCTTACCATTTGGCGAGTAGCAGATATTGACACAAACTTATATAAGTGGTTTCACAAATGGAATCCGTTTAATGGGTAAAGCAAGAACAAAGTTGAGCTGGTAGTCGACTGAAACTTCCAAACATTCAACTCAGGTATTATTTTCATGATCAGCTTCAAAAATGTTCAGTTCTTCGATCATTCTTACTGTATTAAAATATGCTTTTTGTTATTTAATTGCTAAAGTTTTATTTGATGTTCTTGGGGGATTAGGTATACAACTATCATTATTTTGCTTATATAGTGTATTCAGTCTACTGTCTCCACTTTGATATTTTTGTTAATTCAAATCAGTAGTTTTATTTCCAATATTCTGATTCATATTCTTGAGACTAATTTTAGATGTTTTCATTGCAACAGACTTTTCTGGACCTATTAAGAATCAAATTAAGACAGTATAATTCTGAAGGATGATTCTTTCTGCTCTTTTGGTTTCTGTTGGAATAAATTTCGGTTTATGTGTTATATACATCAGTCTATTCTCCATATTGAGGAAGCTTCCAGTTCATGCTGATGTTTATGCACCACGGATTGTTGCTGAAACAAAAAATGATTCCACCTTGGAAAGGTTACTGCCTTCTTCCAGTTGGGTGAGGATGGCATGGCAACCCACAGAAGATCAACTCATCATGCGTTCTGGTTTAGATGGTTTTGTCTTTATGCGCATTTATATCTTCAGGTTACTAACTTTCATACTTTACAACTTGTGGAATTTTGTAATCCTATTATACGCAAGAAACCATTTTAAGTGGATACGTTGAACAAAGGACATGTTTGACACAAAACGTTTGGGAGTTTCTAGCTTTTAGTGTTTGATAAAACGCTTCATTTTTAACAAAAAAACCTCGTTTGACATTACAAACTTTTAGCGTTTAGTTTAAACAAAACGCTCCAAATCTAAAAACTGCGTTTAACAAAACGCTACCAGCTACCGGCTACCAGCTAGCCGTTAGCTACTATCCGCTACGGTTAGTTTTTCCGAACAAGCCCAAAGTATGGTTATATTTTTTGAGCGTGAAATCTGAAGAATGATAACAACCAACAACGTAGTGAGATAGGAGAACATGTTAGAAAAATGGTCTCAAAGATTCCCAACAATTTGTGCAATGGAAAATAACTGAGAAAATAATATACGTGGATAACTCCAAAATCTGGAGAAAAACCGTAGAGAAAAAATCACTATGATACATTATTACAATCACACTGACAAATCTCTTGAGCCAATTCCCTTAAATTACATCTACACTCTCAAAAGTTTCAACTCATGCTTTTCTACTCTAAAACATGAGAAGAAAACAAAAGAATCAAAGTACTTAGAGTTTATTTGATTGGGGCTCTTTCGGAAAACTTTGTAAATTGTAACGAAAGCCTTCAACACTTTTTTTAGGCATGAAGCCAACTTCACCTTTCTACACTCTACCAATGTAGGACGAATTCATGTTTTCATATAAACCAACAAATCTAACAAATCTCAACCGAATTTTGTTGTTCCACTTAGTAGATGAAGCATTAAGCAACTACAGTTATCTGTTATCGGTTGTAATTTTATTGCCACATATTTCTCATCCTCTATATCAGATTCCAAGCCGTGTAATCTTTTTCCATCATTACAGTTTAAAGGTACTCGCTTTTTCTGCGGTAGTTGGCCTATGTATTCTTCTACCAATCAATTATATGGGAAGTCAGATATATATTGATTTTTCCGACTTTACAAATGAGTCCCTGGAATCATTCAGTATTTCAAATGTCAATGATGGATCCAAAAGGTGACTTTTACTACTTTACCATTTTGATTCTTCAACAGTAAAATGTTACAGTTTACTCTGATCACATTATTTGGAACTTTTCAAGGTTATGGATTCACTTTGGTGCGGTGTATGTCTTCACTGCATTTGTCTGTTATCTTCTTTATGCTGTAAGCATCTTTTTATTAATAACTACTCAATATCCTTTTCCGGTGAATAATTATTATTATATGCAGGAGTTTGGTTATATCGCTTCAAAAAGGCTTGCATTCTACTCCACATCTAAGCCTAAGCCCAATGAATTTACTGTATTGGTTCGAGGTATCCCAAAGTCATCCACAGAGACCTTAAGTGAAACTGTTGAGAAATTTTTCTCAGAGTGTTATCCGACATTATATCTATCACATTATATGATCTATAACACTTCAAAGATTTGGAAGCTAATTGTAAGTCAACTTTTGAAGCTTTTACACGATCCTATAATTAAAATTCTTGATCCATTCAATTCGTTTAATTCGAATCGTGCCATAATGTCATTCTAGGATGATGCTGAAAAGACATATAGAAAGCTTGTCAGTTTGAAGTCCACAAAGCAAAGTTCTCAAAGGTATGGTCGTGTTGGATGTTTCGGGCTTTTGGGGCCGAAAGTTGATCTCGTGGAGTATTATGAGGATAAGTTAGAAGTTCTAGAAGATAAAGCAAGAAAGGAACAATCACTCCTTAGTGGAAAGGCAAGTTATTACTTTCCCACATTGTGTATCTTTATAGTATCTAACTACTTATCCTTGTTCCTTTTTCACTTTAAGCTTTATTGTTTGTATTTTCTTTTCTTGTTCTTTAGTTACGTAACGTTATTATTTCTTTATTGCGGGTAGAGGTTGCATATATCTTACCTCTCCCTTACCCATTCTCATGTGACTTGGTTATTGTTGTTGTATGTGTATAGAAGTGGGATATACTTAACTTAACTACTTTTTAGACTTAATATTGACATAAATTTTTACTTGGTTGATAATTTTTGAATTTGGTAGGAACTTCGTGCTGCATTTGTATCATTCAAATCACGGATTGGAGCCGCAATAACTTTAAACATCCAACAAGGACAAAATCCTACCGAGTGGCTTACTGACCCGGCCCCAGAGGACCGAGACATATATTGGGCCTTCTTTTCTACATCTTTTTTAACCAGGTGGATTGGAAATGTCGTGGTGGTTCTTGCATGCACGGCTCTTACAATTTTGTTCTTCATACCCGTTATCATAGTGCAGGGTCTCACAAATCTAAACACGTTGGAGATTTTGTTCCCTTTTCTAAAAGGCATATTGAATATGTGAGTGTTCATTGCATTTCTACCTTGCATAAATTACATATTTACCCTTCTCCCGCGATGGGAGCCTAGTGGTTTAAGGTGCATGACCTCCCACATGGGCCTTGAGGCGAGTTGACATGGGTCGCTCAGATGGTACTAAAATATCATTTCCTTTCATATGGACCATTGGTATTGTTGTTGTTACCTTTTGTGTACGGTGTTAAGCATGTGCTCTTTGCGTTAAGCTAAATACAATAATTAACAACTTGCTTTCATTAATTTGTATATTATATAATCCTACATTCATTTCTTCTGGTTATACAACATTGTACTTTCACTTCTTTTCTTATTCAAACGTTGTACTTTGCAAAAAAAACTATTACGGTATAACATTATACTTTCAAAATTTTCTTAATCCGACATTACTCTTTGCAGAATCTAACCAGTTATAGCGTTCAAAATTGCTTTGTATTTTGAAGACATTGCTATAACTCGGTAGATTTTTCAAAGTACAATGTTGTAATAGGAAGAAATGATAGTAGGATGCTATAATAAAAAAATTATGAAAAGTATACTCGCTTAGTTCATTTATGATCAACTACTTAATAACATCCTATAAGGCTAACACAACCAATTTATAACTTGCAGAAATGTCGTAAGCCAGGTCATCACTGGATATCTTCCCAGTCTGATTCTCAAGACATTTTTAAAAATTGCGCCACCTGTCATGAAATTTTTATCCTCAATTCAAAGCTATGTTTCACACAGTCAGATAGAGAGAAGTGCGTGTATAAAAGTGCTATGGTTTATCATATGGAATGTATTCTTTGCAAACGCTTTATCAGGATCTATTTTTTATCGCCTCAATGTCTTTCTCGACCCTAAGCAAATACCAAACATATTAGCTGCTGCTGTTCCAGGACAGGTGAAAATATTTTAAATATAACCCTCATGTTATCATATCATTAATTCTAACCTCTAGTTTTTTTTTTTTTTTTTTTTTTTTTTTTTTTTTTTTGAATATCTTACAGGCAACATTCTTTATATCATATGTTGTGACGTCTGGTTGGACTAATACAGCTTCAGAACTTTTACGCTTGACGGCCCTCATTTTCAGTTACATAAAAAGAATTTTTACCACTGAAAGTGATGAAAAATTTGAAGTTCCTTCACTCTCTTATGCCAGAGAGATCCCAAACATTCTCTTATTTGGACTTCTTGGAATTACATATTTTTTCCAGTCACCTTTAATTCTACCATTTCTACTGGTTTACTTCTGTATGGGATACTTAGTTTATCGTCACCAGGTTAGATGGATTCATGAATCATATGTCTACTATCCACTCTCCACTCTCCACTTTTCACTTTGTCAACTCTCGACTTTCTACTGTCTACAGTCTACTGTCTACTGTCTACTGTCTACTGTCTACTGTCTACTGTCTACTATCTACTGTCTAAGAACATTAGTAATTCTACTAATGACGTTTTCATCTTTTTACAGTTGTTGTATGTTTATTCACCGAAATTTGAAACTGGTGGACAGTTTTGGCCAATTGCGCACTACTGTACAATTTTTTCATTGATATTAATGCAATTGATTGCTATTGGGATATTTGGTCTGAAGCAACTTTCCTTAGCTTCCACTTTGACTATTCCACTTCCAATCATCACCCTTCTCTTCAATAGCTACTGCCAAAAGCGATTTTCACCACTTTTCAAAGGCTATCCTGTTGAGGTATGTCGAAATAATAATAATAATAATAATAATAATAATAATAATAATAATAATAATAATAATAATAATAATAATAATTGTTGTTGTTGTTGTTGTTGTTGTTATTATTATAGTATATAATCTAGTATATCTAAGTGTGAATTATTGGTGGTATAGTTGATGACAAAGAAAGACAAACGTGACGAAAATGATCCTACAATTTCTGATTTTCGTGAGAATCTAATCACTGCATATCAAGATCCAGCTTTAAAGCCGATCAAATTTTCTAGAACAACCGACAGCCTCAATGCCACACTTCTTGCTTCTGAGACATGAATCTGGTAAAACCTTAATGTTGGTATTTCAAAAAGTGGGTGGTTGATGATAACAATCAATACTAACTGCACCTGATGACTTTGTACAAATCCAAAGTAATAAAGTTGGATTGACTTGTACCCTGTGCAGTGAAAGTTATGCCTTGCATTGGATATAGTTTAAAGGGAAGGCTTAGCTTCAGGATTGTTTGGTCTTAGTAGATACTTGTCAGCGATGATGTGGTTCATGTGATTGTATGTTGTATTATGTTCTTGGCATGTTTGATATTAGCTTGTATGTCCCCATTGTCATGTTGAAGTATATAAATTTTTATAAAATTAGTATATTGGAAAAGTAGACTTTGGGTGTACTTTGGAGAACTTAGTTTAGTAACTCCATTATTCTAATAAATCTTATGTCTCAAAGGTACTTATACTAGATGAAATTTGGGTTTAGTAACTCCACTAGAGCGATTAAAGATGCACTTTTGGAATTGTTGATATCTAATAAGAACCCTAGAGAAGGAACTGTTGTATTTCACAGAAAGCATCAAAATTTGGTTTAATTACGCTAAATTTCAGGTGAATTAGTATCAATGCCACAAAATATGCAAACACACAAAGGTATATGGTGATAGAGAGCTAATCGATTGGCGTGAAGAGCCGCATGAATCATGATGAAATTCAGTAGTTCAATTTTTGAATCTGTGTTTTTTTTATATTTTAATTTGAAGTAACCTGTTGATTGGTATTGTTGAAGAAGGAGAACCTAGGTTTTAGCTTATAACGAAGCGATGGATGTTTTGTCCTCTCATATCACTAAGACCAAAGGAGGGGCTACGGTTTCCCCTGCGGTTTGCCATAGTGGTAGTGGAACACCATCCCCGACCACGGTTTCCAATGCGGTTTTGTTGTACATACAGTAGTATTCCGCCGCACTCACTCACTCACTCTCTCTCTCTCTCCCTCTCTCTTGTGATATGTCGGAGATGGTAGGATTGAGATCAAGGATGGGTGTCGAGCTGGTTCCTACTCCTGGTATCACAGTACTAAAAAAACGAGATGATCGTTAGACAATGTCCGAAAGGTGATCCCAGGATGAAGCTACGACGATTAAGTTAGAATTGATTCTATGAGAAAATAGAGAATGTCCCAGAGAAAAAGAGTTCAGTCCTGTTCTCTGTGAGGAAGAAGGGTTCCTATATATTTGATCGAGAGGCACATGCCTCCTAACTGATTCTGTTGAGCCTCCCCTCGTGAGGCGAGACATGGCGGATCTGTATTGAAGGATCCTCCATTGCGTTTTTCCATCTTGTTCCCCCATTGGCTAGAGGGAAATCTTCGATATAAAATGATCGTGACTGTCTTCAGATAGGCAAGTGGAGCTCTCTGATTAGCTCCACGTTTGCCAGGGTATTTCTCCTGGGGAGAATAGGGTAAGGCGCAGCTCTGCCCCTTAACCACCATGCCAGTGAGTCCATGCAGGCAGTGGCCCGACCTTGGCCTAGTACTAGGTATGACCTAGCTCTAACTAGGCCAATCTTGGCGCTAGTTTGACTTTTCTTCTTTAACATTTTGCCTAAGTGATACGTTAACACTCTCGTACTTTTCGTTCTTCCCAACCTTTGAATGGTCAAATATTTGAAAATCGATTTTTATTTTTATTTTTTACCTATAAATAAAACCTTACACCCCTTAATTTACCACACCTTAATTCAATTATTCTATCTTTCAATATCTTATTTTTTTCAAAACTTTCAACATGTCTTCTTCCAATAACCCAAATAATAAAAAAAAACAACCATTATGATCAACTGATTTATTCGCCTCCGGTTTATCACTATGACAGTATGCTACCGTATTATCTGCATTAATTCTCACAACAATACTCACAACCACAACACAACCATACAATTGGTAGGTAGCTCCACCTAGGGGGCGGCGTTCTTGGAGATATCGACGGTACCTCCATCTTTACTTATACCGTGCACCTTAAGCTAACTTATCAATAAGTTATTTTAAGTTAGCTCATCAACAAACTAATTTATAAACTACTTTATAAATTACAATAAACTGTTTTTATTGTTTTATCAAATATCAAATTACAATAAACTAGCTTATTTTGTAATATATATATATATATATATATATATATATATATATATATATATATATATATATATATATATATATATATATATATATATATATTAAAAAATAAATAGCTTATGAAGTTTCTTTCTTGCAAATTTATTGATCCAAATTTACGACTTAGTTTGCATTTAGGTTTTTGTCCTACTCCATGGATAATTATATTTGCAAAGGTAACAATTAAGAGATATACAGTGGTTAGGAACAATGTTTTGGTGTATGAATTTGTAAGGTCATAAGGTGTACATCCACCGCACCATGTAATATTTACTATGCAGAGGTAGCAAGTGAAAGGCATGAACACTCACTCCCCCCCCCCCCCCCCCCCCCCCGGTATGAATTGATTCCACAACGTTTCTCTTTTTTTCATGTTTCACACTATTGTACAACATAACATCATATAGCTCCATATTTTGAGTGGAGTGATAAGAAGGTAAAGTGGAAGTGAGGAAAATAATAGCATGGTGATGAATTAGAAAGGAAAAAGTAAGGGGATGTGGCAGTGAGAAAAATAAAGTGGAAGTGAGGAAAATAATAGCATGGTGATGAATTAGCAAGGAAAAAGTAAGGGGATGTGGCAGCCGACACCCTAGCCTAAGAGCACTTGTTTTTAAAGATTATTAGGGATTAGATAACAATACATTCAATACTACAAGTATTTATATTTGTAGGTATAGCCATAATGTATTTATATCCACTTGCTTTTATATTTTGTATTTGGTATTCATACCTACTAATTACTAATTTGATGAATATATATATATATATATATATATATATATATATATATATATATATATATATATATATATAAATATAAAATTGCAACGAACAAGTTAATAACAAATATAAGGGTTTAACTGTCTATGGTATACGGTACGTACTATGTAGTATATGTATATGTTTTTGCCACCAATTATTAGTTAAATTCCTCATAGGAGTCTATTAAACTAACTACTCGTATCCGTCTCATATTTATTGTTAACTTTTGATTTTTTAAGTTTTTACTATTCAATTTTGACATTAGGTATTTTTATTTGTGTTATAAATTATTTGATAAAACTTATAACTATGAAAATAAATTTAAAACATTATACATTTATATATTTTGTATCAAGTATTATATACAAAAAAACAAAAGTATTTAAAATCAAAGTTGTAAAATAAAGACTCTAAAAAGTAAAAAATAGACAACAAATATGAGACAGATGTAGTATTAATTAGGGGTGTAATTCTCAACCCAACCCGTAAACCGATACGAACCCGATACAAAAATAAACAGGTTTAGGTTGAGATTTTTGACCCGCCAACTCGTTTAATTTATGGGTGCGGGTTAGGTTATGTGTTTGAGTTCGTGGTCAACCGGCCAATATATATATATATATATATATATATATATATATATATATATATATATATATATATATATATATATATATATATATTCATGAATTATTACTTATGAGCACAACATGCCCTACTCAGTCAAAAACTCAATCAATGGCTCCTTGTTACTCTAAAATACCACATACTCATCTTCGCCTTTATCTAATTACCTTACCGCCGCTCACCCACCACCTCTCATCGGCGTCACACACCACCAACCCACGGGTACAAAGCCGTAAACCACCGGCACACTTACGCTCCACCGGCCCATCAACGTTTGTTGCTCTATCCCTAAACCACCACCATCGGTGAAACCTACCCGCGAACCAATATAACTAAACAATTTATATGGGTTGGGTTGATGTTTCTGACCTGCCAACTCGTGACTCATGAAACCCAAACCCGACCCAATTTCCACCCCTACTATTAGCCAGTTTACTTTGATTTTCCTTAAAGATTTTAGGTAATGTTTCTTTTTAAGGTTATAGGCATAATGATTTAAGTACTTAACCTAAACAAGTACACACGATTGTTTCTTTTATGATTTATGACATAATGGCTTAATGGCTATTTTTTAAAAGGAAGTAAACAATTTGTTGAATTTTATATATATTAACCAAAAGTTGGCAAAAATATAAAAATATCATTTTCCTTTCTTTTCCTTCCAATTTAAAAACATAATTTTTCTTCCTTTTTTCCATATTCAACAACTAATTAATTCTTTTTTTTCTTTCTTTTCATTCCAATCTTTTTTCCAAACTTAACAACTATATATTAACCAAAAGTCAACAAAAATATAACAATCAGGGGCGGTTCTAGAGGGTTCTCGGTGTAGCATGGGCAACACCTACTTTTTCTGTCTGCAGTGGAAATTTTTTGATTTTTTACCTATTTTTCATGTATCGGCAACACTTTCATCCAGCAACACCTACTATGTATTCTTGCGTCCGTCCCTCATAACAATATAATTTTTCTTTCTTCTTTTTCTCTTCCCTTACATTTTCTTAATTTTAAAACTAGTATATCAATTTGACCTTTTCACAAAACTTTAAATCTTCTGTACAACCTAGTATCATAGGAATTAGGAGAAGCTTAGGCTCCGCATGAGATGAATGGGGTTTTGACATTATTTGGGTTTTGAACCGGTAAAATGGATAAAACACCAAAAAATGTAACCCCAAGTCAAGAGTTGGAAAATTGTTTCCTAAGTCTAGAAGAAAAAAAAGGGGGCAGTTTTGAAAAAAGCTACAAATGTGTGGCAAAACCCAACAACTAAAAACTTTACTATTCCCAATGAGCCACGGGAATATATATATATATATATATATATATATATATATATATATATATATATATATATATATAGTGTGTGGAATTAATGAAGTTTTTTTGAAGAGGTTCTTGCAACCATTTTTGACTTGGTACATATAAACTAGCTTATGTTTTCTAAATGTACTATAATATAATGTTTTATACTATAACCTTTTGGAGCTCACATGTATAAGCTAGGTTGTTTTTAAACTTATTGCAATATAGTGTTTGATTGTACAACAACTTAGACTTGGCAGTCTGTAACACCTCAAATTTTAAACCAAATTTTTGATTTTTAATTTCCCAAAACCAGAGTTTCACAAACCAACTCATCCAAAATCATAAGTGTCTAAAACAAACATCATCAAAAATATCAAAGTATCTCAAACTGTTCCAGTAACAAATCTCCCAGCGAGTGTGTACAATCAGACTTCGTCTTCCCGTGGTCCTCAAAAGTACTTGAAACATATAAATTAATAATTGTAAGCATGAAGCTTAGTGAGGTCCCCAAGATACCACATACAACACAACATAAATAAACAGCTATGGGTTATCAACAACCCTGGGGACTACCAACAGTCACAGTGGGCAACAGCAC